TAGGATTTTGGAGATGGCGGCCTTGTCAGTCAGGGAGGACTTGTGTGTCATGTATCCAGATAGGGTCCTTCTTGGATCCTTCTTTTCTTCCAAAGGTCAACTCTTGGTTTCATCGGAGGTCATCCTTCCGGACTTTTATCCTCACCCAAGACATCCTACAGAGTGCAGATGGGACAAGCTGGATGTGCGTTGAACCATTTGCAAATACATTAAGCGCACCGCAGCATTCAGGCGATTGGAATCGCTTTTCATTTCCTTTCAACCTGCTACCATGGGGCGCAAAGTTACCTCCGCCACCATCTGCCAATGGTTGCATGCTTGTATCACCCTTGCCTATCAGCTCCAGTCTAAACAGGTACTACGACGTATCACAGCCCACTCTAAAAGGAGCGCCGCATCCACAGCAGCCTGGGCGACACAGCGCCCATAGAAGAGATCTGCAGAGCAGCTACATGGGTTTCACCATCCAAATTTGTCCAAGATTACAAATTGGACAAGTTTGCGTCAGCGCAAGCAGTGTTTGGGAGACGGGTCCTTCAGGGTATTCATGCCAAGTGACATTTAGCTTGGGTATGTCCCATGCTTGGACTCTCCAAGCAGCGTACAGGAAAATGACCATTGGCTTACCTGAAGGGTCCTTTTCTGTACGCTGTGAGGAGAGTCCAACCCCGCCCTAGGGTCTCTCTCTCACAGCTTCCATGTGTATATGCATTGCATTTCTTGATGTGGACTTTATTACCAGACTTGACTTATACAATCTATCTTGACTTGAACTAATATCAGACTCAATGGAACCACATTTGAACAGTGTTACAGGTCCACGCCTTCATCAAAAAATCTGAGGAGCCGGAAGAGGAGGCGTGGCTAAAGATCTTTCAATTCAGTCCAGGGCAGTCAGACAGAATTTAACCCATGCTTGGACTCTCCTCNGGGGAATGGAAGGATTTATACTCCTTGCAGACAGCTGGTCATTTGCATCCTTTTAGAGAGTCATTGAGGCCACTTGGAGGTTTATCTGTGTCCTCAGGTCATGTACTGTGTCAGGTTTTTCTTTGAAGATGTTTCCCTTCTCATCCAAGAAGCTTCTTCAGCTCTGACTGGATGGTGGGGAAAGGAAGGATTTATACTCCTTGCAGACAGCTGGTCATTTGCATCCTTTTAGAGAGTCATTGAGGCCACTTGGAGGTTTATCTGTGTCTTCAGGGTCACCTGAGTGGTGCACATGGGTGTGTGGAGCCTTCTTGGAACTCTTGAAAGGACTGTGTTGTAGACTGGAGATAGATGGTGATGTTGTCCATCCCGTCCCCCCATTTGTCCATCCCCCTTGTTGAGAGATGGCTGTTCAATTTTGACATCGCCCAAAGATGCTCAACTGGTTTTGTGTCTTAAGGAAGGACGACATTTGCTCAATAGATGCCTATGGAGATTCTCAGTCATATCCAGGTCATGGTTGTCCCAAAGATGCTTTTTCAAGAGGCAAGTGGACTTCCTTGTTTTTCTTTGAACACATTTCGCTTCTCCTCAAAGAAGCTTCTTCAGCTCTGACTGGATGGTGGGGAATGGAAGGGTTCATACTCTTTGCAGACAGCTGGTCATTTGCATCCTATTTAGAGAGACATTGAGGCCATTTGGAGGTTTGACTGTGTCCTCAAGGCCACCTGAGTGGTGCTCCTGGTTCCTGCAATTTTTTTCCTCTGGAAATCCATTCCTACTCCCACACCAAAGGTGTTCATCTCTAATTGTATAGCTAAACGTCAATGGAGATTTTCCGTCATCCAGACTCATGGTTGTCCCAAAGGTGCTTTTCTCAAGAGGCAACTGGACTTTCTTGGTTTTTCTTTGAAGACGTTTCGCTTCTCCTCCAAGAAGCTTCTTCAGCTCTGACTGGATGGTGGGGAATGGAAGGTTTTCCTGTACGCTGCTTGGAGAGTCCAAGCATGGGTTAAATTCTGTCTGACTGCCCTGGACTGAATTGAAAGATCTTTAGCTACGCCTCGTCTTCCAGCTCCCCAGATTTTTCAATTCAGTTCTAACCCAATGGTTCCAGAATATCATCAGAAATTTAACCTTAACTTGGACTTTCCAACCAGATAATTTCCATCCTACGAGAAAATTAAGGTCTGTTTAAAGTGGCTTTTTGTTTCCCTGGCTTCTGCTTCTTGCCTGTGCTTGTTCCGGGCGTCTCCAGGCGCGCGCGGCTTATCCGACTTGCTGGGCGACGCGAGCTGGCTTGGGAGTTACCGCGTTTGCCCTTTGTATTGGCGCAGTGGTCAGCGGCGAGGGGGCCCAGCCACTTGCGCTAGATTGTGGTGTTTGGTGCGATGGTCAGTGGTGCGAGGACCCAGCTGTTCCCGCCATCACCTTTCTTGATTTGAATTTGGCGCTGCTTTTCTCCAGCAGTAGTTGTTGCAGCGGCCATTTTGAGTAAGGGAAACACTTCAGGCGGCCATTTTGTTTCCATTTTTGCCGCAGTTTCATCCCCTGCACTTCGGAGTGAGCTTTGGAGAGTGGTGGCAGCGTGACTTCTCTGTGCGGCAATCCAACCCCGCCCTAGGGTCTCTCTCATAGCTTCCATGTGCATTGCATTTCCC